ACTCTTTCCACCTCCCATTTTTCTTCTGTGAATTGATAGTTGAGCAAAAGAGACTGCTTCACTGGTATTTTGAGAAATAGAAGCATTTGTGATTCTGAGGAATATTTAGGGAGGAAGTGATAAAAATGGCAAGAGGCAGGAGGAGAACCAAAAAGACGCAAGCTACAAAACTACTAGAAATGTCAGAAAACATAGTTGGAAATACAACAGCGAAAGTGGATGTCAAGGAGGATGACTTGCAGCAGAGTTGAAGTTTGAAGTGATGGTATGGTGGACGAAGCTGAAGGATGTTGTTAAATTTATTAAGGAGGGTTTTCATTAGCAGTATTATTTACTAAAAATGCCTTGCTCACTAAGGTAAAAGACAATGATGTTTCCAATTTACCTGTTGTTTTTTATTGTTTTTTTCTCCCTCACAGTTTCCTAACTTTGAGTGTTTCATTTCAGCGTAAGAATAAACTTGTCTAACGTTTAAGTCATGTTGCTTGTTAATACTGTTGCTTTTTTGTTTCAGATATAACTGCAGTATATAATATGTAATCCATTAGATTTGTGTTTGATTTCTTTGGTAAATACTTGATTCAATATTTTTAAATGGACATTAGGATCATAAAGAAGGGAAGGAATAGAAGACAGCTGTTATTTGAAATCTTCATTAGGATCTACTCTTTATACATTAATGCATGGTGTTTCACCATGTTTTCCTTTATATGTAAAGCATACCTCTACATTTGTTCAGAGGAAATAAAACAAGAAGTCAGTTGTAGGCATTTCAAATACAAGACAGAGTTTTAAACAACTCTATTACATGGACTATTTGATACTGCATTGCATTTCACAGCTTTTTTTTTCGATTAATTAAAGACTAGATACAATTTTTTTGAATCAGCAGTGATCCTAGAATGCATTCTAATTCTACAGCCTCCTAGCAGTTGTTTGCTACTGGAACAACTTGATTTAGTGTAAAATGCTTGATTATAGCTGAAGGCTGTAAAGATGCAATACAATGTAATAATATAGCTATTGTGGTAAGATGGAGGCTAAGAAAGTTGACAAAACAAGCCTTAGAGCTGATATTTACCACTTACAGTTACACTGATTTGGTTTTCTAAATGTATTACTCCGTAATTCTCAATCTTTTCCATGGAGGAGTTTTGAACCAAATTTAAGTTGTAGACTTGTTGCTGTGTACTGTCCCTAAAGTCCTGTTTAAATAGGAGAAGGTTGATTGACGTCTTTTAATTCCTTCATGATATTTACTAGAATAGTTAGCACAAAATGGCATCGTGGTTGTAATGGCCTGTATTTGTGACTGTATCAAGGAAAGAAACAAGATCAGTTGTGGTAGCAGACATTGTATGTTCATGATCTAGTGTTTCTTGATTTATTGTTTTTTATCATGCATATATGATTTCATAATGTGTACTTCCTAAATCATCATCTTGCCTTCAGTTTTTATCATTGTTTTTCCCAGTTCCAAACCTGTTCTGAATAAGTACTTCCTAAATTCAAGAAGCAGTCTAACACAATCTACTTTGATACTGAGGGGAGAAAAGATATTTTTTTTATTTTGAGCTCTGCATGTTTGGGTTTTTAAAATCTAAGGAAAAGTCTTTTATAAGCTGTTTTTCCCCCTGTTTACTGCAATTGCACTTATTCTTGGCTTAATTCACGAGAGGCAGAAATAGTCTCTGCCTTTGCCCTGGCGTATTAACTGGCAGACCTTTTTGTCTTGGCTAGTCGGGTTTTGTGACTTAAAATGTTGGGGTTTTATAAGTCTTGTGTTGTAGTACATTGGAACGATCTCATCTCTGTAATGACCTATCCTGGCCTTGTAAAACAGTGTTCTTACAATTGCATAAACTTTTAAACTCTTAAATAGTACAGAAGTGCGAAAAAAAAAGAATTATCGCACTGAAAAAATATAGTAGAAAAAATATGCCTCCATTGTCATCTTAAGATACAAAATAATCTATCAGCCTGGACTAAGTATATATAATCTGTTGGAGAATGTGGTGGTGCGCAAGTGATTTCATATGGAGTGTCATAGAGTAAAAAGTCTTGCTTTGAACTCTTTGTTCATAGTTTTTAAACAGGTAAGAAGGGGAAAAATAAAAGATACTTTTACTTTTGGTAACTTATTTTTAAGCTTATTCACACTTCAGCAGCAATCAGTAAGGAGATATTTTGGTATTCATGTACTTTCATAAAGTAAGCTTATTAAAGGAGTAACACTTAATTTCTTAGCTTTATCGGTTCAGATTTTAATCCTGTATATTTTTATCTTCTTAATGGCATATACCATAGAGACATCCAAGGTAGCCAATTACATTCAAGGTCAGCTGGAACTAAGCAACTCTTTTACACCACTTTTTTATTAGAAGAGGTAAATCAGTAGCTCTGATTCCCCTGTCTTTGAAGAGAGACTTTTGCACGAATGCTAAACAGGCATCTATCACAGATGTAATTTTTACTCCTTATACAAGTATGTCTTAATTCCGGTAAAATACTTTTTCTTCCTATTGAGAGGCACTGTGTGTATATTAACTTCCTTTTAGGTATGCTAGTACTTGTAAAAAACAATATCTTTTTAAGGTTTATTTTATGGAGCACACCCTATACGTTGTTAATGAATAACTCTGTGTGCATTTCAAGTGCAATGTATGTTAAATCGTGTAATGTGCTACTGACCTGCCTCAAAATAGTCTTCAGTACATGTTCTAGGAGAAGATGATACCTTACATTTTGGGTTTATCTACTCTACTGAGTTTAGTGAAGCTGCCATTGATTTATGACAGCGTAAGTGAGAAAAGAGTCTCATCCAATTGCTTTAATAACACTCACAGAAAAACGTTTTCTCATGGGAAGGTTCTGAGTGTTTATTTTCACTGTTTCATTTAAATCATTATATGCATATTCTGTGTTCAGAAACTGTAGTATCCTTTGCTAAGCAGACACATCCAAGTTAATTAGATTCTCATGGAGATTGGGATTTCCAGGTTTCTTAGAAATGGATATTTTCACTGAGCAGGCTCTTAGTGTGGATTTCAAGTAGTGGTGGTACACAATTTGCTACTTTATGTTGCTTTTCCTCTTCATAAATTTATAGCCACACATTTTCCCTGAAAAATAATTTAAATTTTTTATACAATTTCTTTTATTAATACCATTACATGTGCTTTGCAAGTCACTTTTATAGTTGGCTATTTCTGCAAATGGTGCAGTATTCTAACTTACAGAAAGGTTAAAAGGTGTCACTTATGTGAGGAAGACGAATTAAATGGATCAGCAAAGATTACAGCCTTTTTTAACTTTTAATTTTTAATTTTTTTAACTCTTAACTCTCTAACTTTTTTTTTTTCAACATCTTAAGTCGGAAAGACTGTTAGGATGTGGGTGCATGGAGGGATACTGTTGATTCCCAAAAACTTGTTACTTTGTCAAGAAACAGCATTTCTGTGCATTGCCTGGTTAAATTAAAGGCTGTTCTTTAAGAAAGCAGTATAGCTCATTACCATTATCATCTAACTTAATAGAGAATTTGTATTAATCAAGTTCAGCATGTTGAAGAGAAGCAAGCTCCCCTCTGAATAGGTTAGAAACTAAAATTCATAATTCATTAATTAAATGGTTTTTTTTCTTTAGTTTCCATACTCTGTATGTTCTGAACACCTAAATAATTTATAAAGTAGGTAAGAATGGATTAGCGTTGCCATCTGCCCTGTTCTTAGTCAAAAGAGGTCATATGTTTTCTTACTGCAATAAATTACAGGTTAAATAGTTTCGTCATGCATTTCGGTTTGTATTAACACTATCTGTAAAACAAGCAAGCTTGCTCATTCTCCTCTGTTACATAACTTTCACTACTGATAACTCCATAGACAGACAAGTCTTCAAAGAATTAGGTCAACTAAGGACTTGCCCTGGCGCTGGTCTTTTGTGCTTTCTTGTTTAAAGATTGCAATGCATTGTACAAGGAATTCAGGTGTATGGGAAGGAATGGCCTTCCCACGCCGCCTTCTAGCAGCTGCTATCTTTCCATAATAGGAGAGACACATAGAGAGCATCCTGTTGGGGACTGAACCCGAGAGCTTCTCTTCACAGAAGGAAAGAGAAGATGACTGTGACAAAGTCTGCATTCTGTTCCTCAATCTGCACTTCAGATATCTAAACTTAAACTTCACTGTACATTTCTCTCTTCTGTGGTTTGTCCATGAAGTTTGTTTGTTTTGTTGTCTTACTGTCTATTATCTTATTTTTTTTAAATCACAAACTTGTGCATTAAATCTTCTCTTGGAGATAAATAATTGTACTCTATTCTGCTTAGCAGTTTGAAAGCAGCTCTTTATGTTGTGGTGCACAGCTTTCCTTGCTTTGCTTCTCTGGTTAGCCTCTAAGATTCAGGGTCCAAGGAACAGGTCCTGTTCTTTTTCCACTTTAGGGATCACCTCATTAGGAATATTGATCCCTGTGTTTCCTCACTGGAAATTAACTTATTTCCAGGCAGGTTGTTAGGTCCGTGTGTTTCCTTTGTTCTGTGCCTGGAACATTCATCAGTATCAGCATGAGTAGTCTGTAGGGACTGAGGTCAGTACATGGCCTTTAGAAAAGTATTGTATTTGCTCCATAGTCATCAATGAAGCAACGAAGCAACTAGCAACCAAGTTGTTGAAGGTCTGCCTTAACTTTTCTGAATTAGGCTTGCTGGAAAACATGTAAGTAATGAGCAGAATAGGAGAAAATAACGTCAAAATTTGTGGTTATGAACTAGTTATGTGTTTGCATTAACATGAAGTCCAATACAACAATTCAAATTTTTGCAGTATGAGTCACACAACTATAATTTAATTTGGAACTCTTTTTGAAAGGATATTGGCATTACCATTTTGTTATTGTTTCATTCCTCTGCAGTTCCTCTTTTGTCCAGTTTTGCAAGTTGAATGTTGGTAATAGTTGATTGTAATTTGAGCAATGTTAAGATTTTACATTGGAATTTGAACACGTATTCATACCAGGTGAACATTTTTTGTTATTTTTTAAATTAGCTTACTAAAAAATAATTTATTGGTTAGTAATAAGAATATTACTCAGGCTGGTTTTGTCAGGCAAATTCTTTACTCTCTTTGTATAGTAAGAAAACAATAGAACAATATCCAAAATTGCTTCTACTTTATATTGAGAGAAGAGTGAAAGGAATTATCAGTTTATTACATTTATGTTCAATGTAGTCAGGTGTAAACATTATAGATCTAATAAGAAATGGCATCCCTATGTTAGAAAAAATGATCTTTTATTTTTAATGTGTCAAAGAGTTTTAAGACAACTGAGGAGGATGCTCTCACCATTACAACAATTTGAGTGTAATGTAGACACTGAGAGAGAACACTGGAATAAGTCATGATTACATAACATCACTTTAATTAATCTTTGAAAGCTAATTATGACCAGGAGTTAATTTCCAAATAAGAATAGGTTTTCCCTTCTGTAGAAAATTACAGAATAAGTTTGATCATCCTAGTCTGATTCAGTAGCCTAATTTCAACAGTCATTGTACTAATCACGTGCTTAAGTGCCCTTCTGGTAGTTTGTAGGGGAAGGCAAGTAACCAAGACAGGTAGAATTGTGCCCAGGAGTAATGAAACTAATGTGGAAACAAGAGTCAGTAATTTGGACTGCAAGTTGCTTCTCAACAGATGGCTAAGACCTTGGGTTTTTTGGTCTAATATATTAATAGCTGGCACACTAGTGAAATGTAGAATGCTTTATTTGAATCTTCACAGTGTAGCAATGTTGCCTATTTCAGAGAATACTTTTTATCTTGAGTCTGTTTGCTGCACTGTGCTATTAAGAAAAAAAAAAAAAATCTGACATTCTGTCAAATTAAAAAAAGAAAAAGGAAAACTTTAACAAAGCAGTTATGTGAACCAGAGCATTTTTATGGTCTTTTAAAGGTAACTTCTAATTTTTTTTCTGGGTATTCCTTTTGTAGGAGCTATTTGCCTCCCTTGGAGGGAGGGGAGAATAAATGGAACAACATCGGGATCTAAAAGCTTAATGGTTTTATTGCTGCATTGTAATTATACTAATAAACACCTCTGTCCATGACCTTGGAATTTATAGTGCAGTGAGAAAGATTTATTGACATGTAATTTGGAAGAAATATGGGATTATTGTGTAATTACAGTGTGTGGTTATTAAGCATATGTACTTAAGTACCGTTTATCCCTCTTATTTCAAGACCTTCAACTACGTTTCAGTTTTCACTCAAATACAGACAGGCTTCTTGTTAAATCCAGTGCCTGGGAGATCTTTCTTATATTATTGGGTCAACTACAAAGTAACTTTGTTACCTTGAGATGTGCAGAGGGGATCAATAGATCTTTAAAACAGCATGTGATGTTTTTAAAGAAATGTTCTAAACCCTATTTTTCCTAGCAGTTCAGATATCAATGTGTAGGACTTTCTGCTATACAGGTTCTTGATACACAAGTCCTTTATACATAGATTTACTTCTTGCTGCTGTTGAACTAGGTTATCCCTAGGGCCCCATCATCTCTTCACCTTAGTCAGGTTTTCCCATGATCTCCCTTTCTATTTGTGTGAAGCTAACTCCGTAAAGATCTTTGTATCTTCTTGTGAAACCGTAAGTAACTAACTCAAATACCTATTGGAATATAACTAAGCTATTGGAATATAATCAAGTATGGCAAAAGGCTAAAGCCAGAGATGCACTCCTTTGCGCTTTGGTCCCCTTTCTTGGCTACATACAGTTGGCAGCAGCCATGCCTGTCTTTCATGTAATCTGGTTTTTGAATTTAATTCGGCACTCCGTTTTCATTAGGTATTCAATGATTTTCAACGGCAAGTTTTTTTCAAAATTTATACCACTTTCAGCTTCCCAAATCTATAGCTATGTTATCTTCTTTTTATCATGAAAAGCATACAAGCTCCTCGAGTTTGTAGCAGGATAACAAACTCAAAGCAGAAATTATTTTTTTACATTGCTTAAATTTTTGTGTTGATTTTAAAATATGTATTTATCAGAAACTCACTGAAGTTCTTTGTGCTACATGAATCTTTTTACTGTCTCAATTAGAAAGGCTTTTAAAAAAGTTCTTAAAACTTTCTAGCTAAAGTAAACCTACCTTAATTGTTGGTTGTTTTTTTCATCTGTGGACTATACAAAAAGTAATTAAGTGATTAAAAAAATTATGAATTTAAGATTCTGAATTCTAGATAACAGTCCCAAGATTTTATTTATAAGTAGTACTTTGCTATTGTACAAGAAAATTTCTCAGTTGTGACAATGAAGAAATAAGTGTTCTTAAACCAGAAAAAAGTTAATGATCATTCACTAAAATAATTGGTTGTGTGGTATCACCCAATGTGTTCAATAATAAGGCATATTTATTACTGTTGCTTCTATAGGTGAGTGAAGCAGGTAATTTTCCAAGTTTTGTAGTCGTGATGCCATTTTATCTTTTTCTCATGAAACATACCAAAAGTGAGAAATGTGAGTAATATTCGGTTTAGTAGTTGCAGTGATTTATCTCTGTCAGTGTTTACCATGTCTGCTTCAGGACGTGTGTGCGCCATGCTCAGACAAAGGTATTCCCTGTTTAAGGTTCGTGCTCTCAGTTGGCACTTGGTATGCCACAAAGCATACCCAGAGGGGAGGGAGACACCCAGTCAATATGCCTTTATAGCACTTCGATCTCTTTGCTGAATATTGGGATGTAACGTATCTTTTCAACAGAATGCTTTAGAAAGTTGCCTTTTATATTAGTTAAATCTTGTTTTACTGTATCTGTTCTTTCTGCATAAGAAGAGGACTCTCCAGTTCTTAATGCAGGTTGTGGCTGGCATAATATTAAAATAAAATATGCACACTAAACAGCATTTGGGGCTTTCTGTGGAAACACATACACCTGAATACAAATGTACGGTTTGGTCAGAACTCTTCTGAAAGAGAATTCAGTGTTTGAATGTAATCTGTGTACAGTGATAAATCTGCCAAAGCCCATGTTAATGTTATTGCCATGGTAAGAAGAGATTTGTCAAATCCATTAATTAACGAAAATGGAAAAACTGTTGCTGAAGCAAGATCAAAACTTTAGCTGGCACAAATTGACATACCTGGCATTCTCTGTAACTGCTTAACGTGATGGCTCACGCTAATGTGCCAGTGTCTGGTGCCGTTGTGCAGCAGCCTCTTCCAAGAAACTGCTGCAGAATGACCTGCAGCACTAAAGTACCCTAACTGGGACCACCAGTGTGTTGAGGTCATGCACAGTATATTTTCTTACTCAGAACTGAACCTTAAGGTCTATTTATGCTAAAGACTTTTAGGATTCCCATTTTTGAACCAATGTCTGAAGTGAAGGCATATAGCCAGTGTACCATAATGCTTGTTTCTTAATTTTAGTTCTGAAGCAGAATGCTGTGGATTTAAGCTGTCCTTGATGACTTTTTAGTCTGTGTCCAGATTCCCACGGACTTCAGAGTGTATGCCTTTTTAAAAAAACAATGGGAATGAAATTGTGGTTATTTAACTTGTAGGTAAAATTTCATTGTCATTGTTAATAACTTTATTGCCGTTGTTTCTCCTTTCTGAATTATCTTAACTAACTGTTGTGATTTAGAAGTATTCCAAACAAATTGAGTGATTCAGATCCAGTGGAAGAATATTTTTTGAGAACTTAAAATAATCTGCTTCTGGGCTTAGAAATATCACTGGTAATGCAAGATCATTAAGACCAGTAGGACATGATCAGAGACAGATGGTTTGAGCCTGGTTCACCTATAATGAAATGCAAGAAACAGGTGCAATGTGTTGTGTCACCATAGATATCCAGCTAAATATTTCTGTGTATGTCATATAGTAGCACTTATAAACCGTAGTAAAGATAAAGTCTAAGTGCTGTTTGTATCTTTATCTTGTAGACTGTGAGCTAATTGTGCTAGCTGTGGTGAATGGAGTTAAATCCACTTGGTGGCTGGTAACAAGCAGTGTCGCCCAGGGCTCAGTTTTGGGCCCAGTTCTGTTTAACGTCTTTACCAATGATCTGGATGAAGGGATTGAGTGCACCCTCACTACATTTGCAGATGACACCAAACTGGGTGGGAGTGTCGATCTGCTCAAGGGGAGGAGGGCTCTGCAGAGAAACCTGGACAGGCTGGATCGATGGGCTGAGGACAACTGTATGAGGTTCAACAAGGCCAAGTGCCGGGTCCTGCACTTTGGTCACAACAACCCCATGCAGGGCTACAGGCTTGGGGAAGAGTGGCTGGAAAGCTGCATGACAGGAAAGGACCTGGGGGTGTTGGTTGACAGCCGGCTGAATATGAGCCAGCAGTGTGCCCAGGTGGCCAAGAAGGCCAATGGCATCCTGGCCTGTATCAGGCATAGTGTGACCTGTATCAGGCATAGTAGGAGTAGGGGAGTGATCGTGCCCCTGTACTCAATGCTGGTGAGGCCACACCTTGAATACTGTGTTCAGTTTTGGGCCTCTCACTACAAGAAAGACATTGCCTTGCTGGAACATGTCCAGAGAAGGGCAACCAAGCTGGTGAGGGGTCTGGAACACAAGTCTTATGAGGAGTGGCTGAGGGAACTGGGGTTGGGTTGTCAGTCTCTGGAATGGGCTGCCCAGGGAGGAGGTCGCATCCCCATCCCTGGAGGTATTTAGAAGAAGGGTAGATGAGGTGCTTAGGGGCATGGTTTAGTGGTGGGATGGCAGCGCTAGGTTAACGGTTGGACGTGATGATCTTAAAGTTACTGTAACTGATTTGAAGGCATGACACTGCCAAAGCACAAAAAAGCTGCTGCTCCTGCAGAGCTGGATCTTAGTCTAATCTGCGGTTGCGCAGGGTTAGGTATTGTAGTGGGAGAGGAATTTTCTAGGGAGAAAAAAAAAATTCAGTCCTGAAGTAGCATGTCAGAGGTGAATGAGGAGCGAATGATCATGTGCTCATGCCACCATGCATACGATTCCAAAAATTTATTCTTGCTTGACATCAAGGGTTTTTCTAATACACTTAAACCTCACAGTGATAAAGCCTGGGTTTTTCTAAAATTGTCTTTGTTCCATTAAGGTGG